GAAAGACGTTAAAACGCTAAAATTAATCATGAACATACAAATCGAATTGCAGAACGACTAATTTGGAGAAGTTTTTTTTCAAACAATTGCTCGATATTGGTAACAGCAAAATACCTGTTGACTCATCGTCTGGATACATCATATTTCCTACCAATTTTTGTCACTATGTTGAAACTAAGACCGAACTCATCGAGAAGGTTTTCCAAAAATTGCTCAAAATTACAAAGATCAGCGTTGGTTAAGCAAAAGAGCTGCAAAAAACGTTGATGTCAACGAAATGAATTTTCAGATTCAAAATAAGATAGCTGGTGAATTAATGACATATAAATCGATTGATTCCGTCACTAACCAAAATTATGTTGTTAACTATCCAACGGAGTTTTTAAATTCGCTGGAATTGCCTGGATTACCACCTATATATAATCTGCAATTAAAAATCGGATCGGTAATCATTATGTTGCGGAATATAAAACAATCATGTCTTTGTAATGGTACCTGAATCGCGATGAAGAAATTAACGAACAGCGTTATCGAAGCCACAACTTTGAAACGGAAGTACAAAGACGAAGACGTTTTGATTACGAACGCATGCCATTCGACTTTAAACGGTTGCAATTTCCAATGCGGCTAGCACTTGCGATAATGTTTGTGGTATCAATCTCGAAAATCCAAGTTTTTCACATGACAAGTTATACGTCACCTGTTCTCGTGTCGGAATACCAACAAAACTTACGCGCAAAAATAAATAACCAAGAATGTCGTACATCCATAAAGCATTAGGATAATAAACACTTTTTTGAAATTTTTTTTTTTTTATTAATCCTACCGATTCGAATTCAATATTCATAATTAAGAAAAGTAGGTCAGTTGGTATATATTTATATATAGGCGCATATCGTGTAGTATTACGTCGCATAAGATGCGCGTGTGCGTGTGACGTTCGCGATATTTGTTTATACGCCGATGACGAGTTCGGATAATGATAATAATTATTTAATATACATTCCAAATACACTATAATATTATATCGGTTTGTTTAACTCGTTTCCCTCGGGCCCTTCTCCTCCCACTCGGGCCCGTACACCAGCCGCTGACCCCGTTTCGTTCGAATCAATTCTATCCACCACACGTATGAAATATAAATCAGATCGTCGTATCGGATCAGGTGCAAATACACATCGGCGTATTTGCGACGGATGGGGTATCCCTTGCACTCGCCCGCGTTCCCGACTGGATCGTCGACGGTTTAATGTTTAAAAGTAGTTTGCTTTTGTATCGGTTTCTTTTTGATGTGTATGAAAAGGACGCGCGCGCACCCATCCGCATACGTTGTCTCCGTCTGACAAACGTATGCGCGAACATGGCAAATTTGCGTTCTGTAGTTCGAAGCACCGAGGATAGCTTTGATATTTGAGTAAACTGACCTATAATCAGACTATTATATATTATATTAAATTTTTTTTTTTTATTATTTTTATATTTTTTTATTTATTAAATATTAAACGAAGAACATTCTCTGTGTTGTTTTTCCGAAATTTTATTTTTATAAGCGATTAAAGATTTTGTAAAATATTACGATTAAAAACTACTCATAACTCGCTTAAAAACATCGGAAAAAAACCGACCAACAAAACGCAGAAAACGTTCTCTCCTTAAAGTATTATTGTAGGCCAGTTTACTCTAATATCAAAGCTAACATCACTGCATTTGAACTACTGAACGCAAATTTTGCAATGTATACGTGTGTCAGACAGAGACATCGCATGCGGGCGTGGAGTCCTCTGAACAGTAAATCTTAAGTTGAACGCTACGCCCGCATTTGCTATCTACGTATAGTAGCATTCATTGAATTAAACGCTGTGTTGTTAGCTTTAACATTAGAGTAAACCGACCTATTATCAGTTGTAAATAGTAAATAACATTTTCTATGTTTTTTTGGTTGGTTTCTTATGATATTTTATGTTTCAAATGAACTGCGAGTTTTTTATTTTTTTTAGTAGCATAGTATTTCACACACTCATTGCACGCAAAAAATTTAAAATACCGACCGACAAAACACTAATAACGTTCTTCCATTTTATGTTTGACAATATGTCAGTTTACTCAAATAACACAAGATTTGAAATACCGTACCCGAATTTGCTATGTTTGCAAGATGGGGACAACACACGCGGGTACGGCGTCCTTTTAACTATAAAATTACAGTAATGAAAACCAATTAATGAATACATTTTAACGGCAAACAAATCCTATACCGAAGAACCGCTGGTAAGTTCACCCTACATGAGAAGTGGAAAAACTTTTTTGGTGCTGAATTTTTCCAATTAAGGTTTTTAAAATCGTTCACGTGCTTAAAAAAATTGTATTTTCTAAGAATAAAAATATAATTACAGATTTATTATATTATTTTTATAAAATTGTAGTCATTTTTAATGAAACACAAGCAGCAATTGTTTTATTGGTCAAAACATTTCTTTCCTTCGATTTAATTGAATTCGTTATGGCGAATAAGATTTCGCAAATTTAAGTTGACAAAAAATATGAAAGCATAAGGAATATTGTAATTTTTAAAATATATATAATTTATTTCTTTGGATTTTTATTACCAACATTTTATGAATAGAAACATTTTTTTTTGGGTACAATTTTTAATAATTTCAATTTTTTGCGAGTGTCGTTAAAATTTGGTCAACGTGTCACTTTTGGCACGCGTGCAATAGATTCGCCACCTCTGCCCTACATGGTCTCTAATACATCGAGTCTTAACCGTTGTACAGCTAGAAAAATCGACAAAAAACAATAGACCGACAACTCAGATTCATCAAAATTATTTGCGGCTAACGGGATAATAATAATTGCCTCATAATATGTGCGAATGTCGTTTTATGAGTTGTTTTTTTCATTTTTATCCGTACTAGTGACCGAAATTTAATATTTACACCGTCGTATTGCGTATTGTATTTGAGTGAGCAATCTTTTTTGTTCAAATTTCAAACCAGGTTAGTCGGTTATGGGGTTCAAATATTAGATAGGTACTGTTGTTTCTTCGAATCTTTGAATAAATAATATCGAGAATGGAGAGAATAAATTTTAAACGCTCGCCGTATATAAGAATAATTCTATTAATATTTAGGTAAACGTAACAAGGACCACTCTGCGCACGTTCCTAACTTCCTGCGCACCATAGAGGATCGAAGTGTAAAGTATTATAACTTTTACGGAACATTTTTTTTCTTCTTGTTAAGGAATTTTTTTTTTTTTTATTTTTTAACGATTTTCTTCGATTGATTTTCAAATTATTACCACCGTGTGCGTATATAGAGCTGGCGATAATAATAACACAACACGCGTCATTGTGGTTTTTTATTTCCTGATATTAAAACACTAATATATGGTTACCGGCGGCCGGCGCGGGGGCAAGCGGAGGAACGGAGAGGGTTTTTTTTTTTTTTTTTTGTCAAACGCCCCTATTTTGCGTGCACTACGTTTGGGAGCGTGACAGTTCCTCGTCAGTTGGTCTCTAGTGAGTACATGTACTGTAAACATAAAACACCTCAATGAAACTACGGAATGATCTCAAGTGCTCCAGGTAAACATTTGTAATGATTTTATTAATTTTCAATACTTATTTGTCGTGGGTGAAACTCGGTTCGATATTTTTCTCCTTTGGTTACTGTATTTACATTTCAGCAAAATGTCCACGAAAATCCGTTCACAATTATTATGTTTTATTTCTTACGAAATAATGCGACTAAGAACATTAAGCCTAATAAACGTTGCCGTTCTTCAGGCATCCGTGAACGTGAATTCTGATTTATTTTCATTCTGAATTTTTCTTCCGTTGGGAATACTCACCGAGATGATATTTTGTGCGGATCGTGTAGTTGATGTTGATATTGTTTTCGGTAGGTATTTCATCATCGAAAACCAGACTACATTTTTTAAACGGCCGGACAAATGAAATATTTTATGATTGCCAGATGCTTTCATGTACGCATACCGTCCTAATTCCTGGACTCGCCGTATCTTTAAATAATATATGTATCGGTGGGAAGTGTCTGTCATTGTTGAAGGGGAAATCGATTTACCATAAACGCAAAATGATAGCCATTTCGATAATCGAATTATTATTATTGTTACGAGACGATCTATAGGATATTTATTGTGAAACTTGAGTTTGATTTTAGTTTTAAAGTATCGAATTTCTCCAACGTCGAAGAGATAAAATGAAAACGTTTTATTACCTTTTATCACTACGAAATGCCATCTTATTCCCGAGTTTTATTTAGACGGCTGTAGATAAAATTATTTTACCGAAGTTTCGTACCTACTACTGTTTTTAACTTCCATACACTAATATTCAGATTAAATCCTAGTCATAAACAGTAATTATTAACAAGCATCTAAATGCTAAAATACTTATAAAATAATACCGTGAATGCGTTTAACGCGGGAATAAATAACACACCGAACACGGCTAATGAATTTTAGACGTTTAAAAAGCAACAAATGTATCATAAAATTACACTTATAAAAGTGAAAAATTTTTCGAGGTAAATCATTTTGAGTGCAGCAATGAAAATACAAATAAAATATTATAATAATAACCGCTTATAAGATTTCGAGTGGTTTAAATAATCGTTTAACGTTTATCTGTGTACGATGTGACGTCATTTGATTCTTGTTAATTTACCTATACTTTTTATACTTAAATTTGCGCACTTCGTATAGTTCGCTTGAGTTTATTTACATTAAGTACTCTGATATTTACACGCACAAAATGTACGAAATTTAATTTTATACAACCTTGATCATATAATCGTATACGTGGTAAATTCATATACAATTAAGTCTTTATTTGCTGTCTAGGATACTTGAAATTTTCAATTGAGTAGATTCTCAACCGGTGTTTCGCGAACAGGCTGTAGGCGTTCCACGATGATTGTGGTACACGTGTGTTGTATTACTATTGCAAATAGAAATTTCCCAGAATGTTCTTTATCTATAATAATTTTTAATTCTAATCTCTAATCGTTTACCTCGAATCGTTTAGCGGCTAAGGTATAATATTATGAACAATTATGTGTTGCTAAACATTATTTTAAGACAGTCAAGGTACTATATAGTATTATACATTTAAAATCAAGTAGTTTTCAATAAAATGGATAAATTTATCAAAAAACGTAGTATTGAGGATACTAGGGTCAAGGATGCAAACGTAAAGATCAATTTATCAAAACAACCCAAAGTTATACGTAAGTACATTGAAAATTATTTAAGTTTCAAAACCTCCCTCGACATTATTTCTCTGCATTCACCCCTCTACTTGATACCTGAATCATTAATTTTACTTTTATGTAGAGAAATTGTTAAAATAATATTCGACGATGAATTGCCATATGAGTTTAGAAAATTCCGTTATCAAATTACACGATTAGAAGGATTTATGGATTTGTCAATGAATATAGAAGAAAATGTAAATAGAAGTTTTTTTTCTATTTAGCTTCCAATATAACAATTAGCCAATTATAACAATTAAAATTTTAGTGAACATAACACTGATAATATGAGAAATAATAATAATTAATTCTTGAATGTTGATTATGTACTCAAATTCAAATTAAAACAACATAATATGTCAATCGGTTAATATTAACATATTAAATATACTTAGCGATCATATTAATAACAGCAATTAAAATATAACATTAGGTACCTAGATAATATAAGATAATAAAATATAATAAAAGATATCAAAATAAGTTACAGTATGACAAGAATAATTCTTGATGTTTGTGATTTTGGATTCAGTGAAGTATAGAAATATGTAATTAAAGAGATATGGTATTCTTGGAAAAAAATGTGTTGATAAAAAGCAAATTAATGGGTAATGAGAGAATTAAGTTGCGCGACAAACTGAGATTATTATTAATATTTGAAATGGGTTAGGTTTTTAAATTGTTTGAGTTGCCTATTGTTAATTTTGACTACGTCTTTGTTCTAATTTTTTTTTTTTATATCGGGTGTTTACGGACGAGGGCTCATTTAGGGCTGGCAATACATTTTTAGGCACTATTGATGATGGAAGTGGCATAGTCTCAGGGTGATTATTCTTGTGAGAAGTATTTGATATTTTTTCTAAAGGAGGGCAGCCTCTATAATTCGCAGTATGTGTACCAGAACATAACACGCAGTTCGCAGTGATCGCCGCTTACAGTGTTCAGTGGTTATAAAAATCAGCTGCTTATAGTGATCAAAAATGCCAGGAACGGAACAAACAGCCGTTATAAGTGCATTTTTCGTCGCTTACAGTGTTCAGGTTTTCGGTTATTGTGATCAGAAATAATCATCAGAAATATAAAATATAAATATAATTTACAATAATATCACCTCTTTTTGTGTATAGGGAAAACGATTACGAATGTCAATTATCTTAGGCCCGATGCACACGTGCGTTTTTCGCCGTTGCGGCGCTGCTAATACGGCGAACTTTATATGTGATCAAATCGTGCAATGTACATGTCTTGCGGCGCCGCTGCGTCACCGCTGCGTTCGGTGTCTGCCGCAGATAACAACGTTGCCGCAATGGCACCGCGCACGCAAATCTGGTTCAGTAGTACATTGTTGTATATCGACTCATGCATACGTCCGATTTTTCCACGCAAGATGTCCGAAATCGACGATGATGACATTGAGTTGTTGATCGGTGAAGTCAAAAGTCATAAAGAAATTTGGAACATCGCTGATGAAAATTATCACGATAGGACCAAAAAAAGAAGTGCTTGGATAAGCATCTGTCAGATTTTTTTTAGTTATTTTTTTAGTTATTTTTAATTTTTTTAGTTAATCGTGAGCTTTAATCGAGCTAATCATATCTAATGTAACCAACGTGATAGCGATACTTCATATCGTACATTCGTACACATTTGAAACCGTTTTTGTTCTCACAAGCACCGATATTTTTACACTTTATACCCAGTTTGTTTACGTCCGTCGTTCAGTGTAGGGCTGTTCGATTATTTCGAATTAATCGATTATTACGATTATTTTTTCCCCATCGATTATTTTACAGTTTTTATAAAATTTGATTAATAGACAAATAATCGAATTTATGATTAATCAATATACATAATATTAGATTACCTGATTACATGCTTACATTTTAAATCTGTGCTAATTGCTAATATGATGTTCTGAGTTCAATGATTCGGAAAATATTAAAGATAATATTATAAAAGTGGACATCTACATCAATATTTCATCCTATAAATCTTGTTGAATTTGTGTAAAAGTTGAAGAATCAATTTATCCATTTTAAAAAAGTCGCTTTATAAAAAATCAATTAATCGGTTAATCAGTCAATAAAAAAAAAATCGATTTATCAGTTATTCAGATATTAAAAAATTCAGTTATTGATTAATCAGTCGTTAAAAAAATCGATTTTTGGTTTGAATATTAATTTTCGATTAATCGCAATAATCATTTAAAATGTTAAATAATAATCGAGTGGTAAAAAAAATAATCGAACAGCCCTAGTTCAGTGTACTGTTATAGTATACCAATATGATTTATTGGTTTTTTTTTGGGGGGGGGGGCTTAATCAAAATGCATCTAGACCACTACAATATTTACAAAAAAAAATTCTTAGGATATGCTTAAGTAAAAATACTTTAACAGGTTCAACTAAAGAAAATTTCAAGTTATTCAATGTGCTTCCATCTGAGTCTGTATATAAAAAAATAATTAATTTATATATTATCAAAAACTTTGAATCCTTTATGAGTATGAAAAATGTTATACTTAAAAGAGAACACAGGCCGTTTGATATTAAAATTGAGTATACTAGGAAAGCGTTTGGTCAAAAATTGTTGGGGTATCTTGGTCCTAAAAGTTATAATTTAATGCCCATAAGTATAAAAAAAGAAATATACTATACAGAGAGGAATCGTATAACTACAAAGTTAAAAAAGGAAATTCTGAGTTGGCTATTCTCAGTATTGTAATAGGCAATGAGTTTAACTGTTTTAGAAATAAAATTTGTGATGTATATTAATAAGAAATACTACGTATATTATACTGATATTTTATTTTATGTTTCGTTTGCTGTATTATTCAATTGTTCATACAATCTTTTGTAAATCGATTAATATTATTTAACTACTTTGTCAAACTAATTATTTATTTATAATTATCTATTTAATCATACAATTTTAATTATGTATCCTATAACTCCCTACACCGCCACAAGCTTTGCTTACGACCACTGTAGGTCTGATGATCTGATGAAGTGCTCGGCAAGATGTTCGTTGCTGAATTTGACGGTTGATTACAGTAGGAGTGTATCGGTGACCCCGTTTGCATTGCGGTGGGAAACGAGCATGATGCGGGTTTTCGACCATTGTTCTGGAGTTCAGTAGTGAGGGTGGTTGGTGAACGCTCTGATTGAATTCGTTTGGATCAAGAACAACAGTAAAAAGTGTTAGAACTTCCTTGCTTACTCTGTGGCGAATGCTTAGCACACTTGTGACGGAGAAGTCCATAACCCGGGGTGCCGTAACGATATCCTCTGCGGGAATAGTATGATGTAGATGACGGATAAACACTTCGATTGGACGGGTGTGACAGGGTGAGCATATATGGGCCGGTAAAATCAACAATTTTTTAGTTACCAATACAATTTCGAGTTATGATAATTGTTACCATTTTGATATTTATTTGTTTCATTAGCATTTCATTAATAGACATTCCAGTTTCTCAAAAGTACTAAAGAGTATAAACTCATTAAAAAATTCAATTTTAAAATCAATTTTATAGGCTTCAACTAAATAATTTGCCTTTATTTTCATTTCTTTATTTTTTAAACTCTCGTCAATTAAAAAATTTAATCTTTCGTCTAATCTTTTTTCGTTTTTCCATTTTTACTATCAATTTATTAATTTGTATAAAGTAAATGTGTGTGTTTGTGTGTTTATTTGCAGTTGATAATTAATATTTATATTATATTACGTAAACGATATTATTTTTCTAATTTTTTTTCTATTATTTCCTAAAATTTTCAAAACAGTATTTGTGGTATTATTCATCATAACTGTCGTATGCTCATTTGCGAGTGACATCTTATCGGTTTATGTTTTAAACAATCTAATTTCAATAAGTAATTATGATAACAAACATTGAGTGAATATATACGAGAAATATTATTCATAACACCATTTTACTTGTTGTGCTAACGTGTACAGATAGTATATAAAAATAAAATATTATAAAAAAAATTTAGTCGCACATTTTATTTTCGTAGGCCTACAATGCCTATGCGCTAATATGGTCCTGATGAGAATGGGTCGATAATTGTTTAGAAATAAAGTAGTATACCTAACTAATAAATTATGCTAAACAAAACCATTTTATTTTGGAACCTAAAAAAACGTTTAAAATTTAAGATTTCCTATTCAGTTCCACTACTTAATTTATCAATATAAAGGTTTAAATTCCGGTTTTGATACCTAATATTTTAAAAGGGAGAAATCGCCCTCCTTAATTTGGGTAGATAGGTGCGTTATGAATCGATACTCGATGGTAAATTTTCAGATACAATTATTAGTATACACCAATACACTTATACTACGTGATTTATAGAAATAATATTTAATATACAATTTAAGAATCCTCCCATTAATAAAAAAAGAAAAAAATTCCAAACACCCAATTTGACTTTAGAATGAATCATTCAGCCCTTCATCTAGTTCACCGGATAATAGATAATCTCTTAACTAGAAAAAAACACTTTCGTCCGGTTTTAACCTAACCAAGACTTTCGATCGAGTGTAGCACGAGGGTCTTCTCTATAAAATTAGAAAGTTTACCGCTCCTTTATACCTAATCATTCTATCTCATTCTTATCACTCCACACTTTTCAAGTGAGATGTGAGAACAAACTATCCACTACTTATCCTATAAAATCATGTGTTCCCCAATGTAGCATAATAGCATCAACGATGTACAATATTTTTACCATGGACATATCCCATTCCAATCTCACCAACTTAGCCACTTTTGGAGATGACACAAGAATAAGTTCTTCTGAACCAGTGATCAATGTTACCATCAATAATTTTAAAAATCACTTAAAGAAACTACAAATCTGGTTCAACCACTGGAGAATAATAATTAATCAAAATAAATCTTCACACATTACCTTTACCTTATTATGCCCTAAAATAAGTCTTTCACTATCATCGAATAATAAAATAATTCC